TCAGGTTAAGGAGTTATAAGCATAAAACTCATTCATACACCTCAGGCCATGCACTTTAAATGCCTTCAGCATGATTAAGGATGGTTGTAGTCAACAAAAAATTGTCATGTGATTTTTGCAAATTGTCCTCCTCAATTATGTCACTGCATGCTGTATGCTTTTCTGATTAGGGTAACTTGGACCAGGGTTGAACTCAGGCCAATTCCCAGCCTTAATGCAAGTGTTTTCTAATCTCCCATTCTATCTGGTTTTCTCCTTGTTCAGCAAAACTTGTTAAGTTCACATCACTAAGATCAGCTTTTCCTACAGTAACTCCACTTGTTAGATAAGCTATCATTTAGTTGTCAACTTGTTGCTATAACTTAGGGCACACTTAGCTCTGGCAGCTGATATACCACTGTTTGAACATTGCAGTAAATAAAACTAACCTTATTATCAATATAGCTCGAAGTGTCAAATATGAAGTGTCAGACTTTCAAGAGTCATTTGATTTCAAAATTACAATTGTAATGTTAGATCTCTTCAGATAGTCCACCTTTTCTGCATTGGATCTTTCGTACAAAAGGGAATGAGAATGTAGTTAGGACACATTGGTATGACAGAGTTTCATAACTTTGTTCTTTGATAAATTCATATATTGCAATTAATAAATGTTTTTGGTAAAAGGATTTTGAGTGTTTGAAAAGGGATCACTAATGCCATTTGTTTACAAGTGGAGATGATGCTATCACTTTCAGTAAGTCTGAGACTCCAGCATCAGTTATGTAGGAGACTATAAAACACACGTGCACTGTGAGGCCTTTTTGGCAACTAAACTTATTAGTTGCGTCAAAACAAATGTATAAATACATACAATATGTAAAAGCAACATTTGAACTATGCTACAAAGATTTCTTAATCAATTTTGTCCAAAATTGAATTTTAGATTAGTTACTACAAGAAGCTTTACAAAGATGAGAGTAACACATGTATAGTTTTGTAATGGTTTAACTTTCCTTCTGGTCCGAGTTCTGTTTTGGATGAGTCAATGTACATTTGAATCAGTATTGACTTTATCATAGCTCCTTAATTTTTATCTATGTTATAATTTAACAGATAATTATTAGTCTTATATTGAACTTCCGAGTTTGATGTTCTATTTCGACAAGAATTTGGATAAGTATTAATTAAATCATAAGTCTTAAATATCTCTCTCTATTAAATGAATCATGCTATGCTTAAATTTATTAAGAATTAATTTAACCTTAGCTTCCCATGTAACTGTAAATGCAATCAATTGTTTTTTGAAAGAAAACATTTGTTATTACCCATGTTCAAGACACTACCTTACCCCAATAACTATACATTGTCTACCTATCTCTTTAAATTTGGAAATATTCCGAGAGTTTACCTTTGAAGGGAAAGCAGAGACAACCTCATTTCTGTGAAAGCTTGACGTACACATGCAGACACACACATACTGTATATCCTTGCTAGACACTACTAGTAAGAACCTTTTAAATCTTACCAGTAAGACATTCCATACAATAAAGAATTGTGACTCTTACAGTCTGTCACAAGATTTCCAATACATAGTGAATTAGTTCAACTTAACTTCCCTTTTCACAATGGTTAGAATATAAAACTATACCCCTCAAACACTTAATGATCTATACATATTAATACAATGTCCAGGCCAAAATGACTACTCAATGTAGACAACTAAGAATACATGGAACTCACTCCGTCCTCTACCTCCTAGTCTCAATATTCGGTAGTTCCAGATCCAAATTGCGATTTGCCAAAAGTCCAAGAGTTCTTAGGTTGGGTTTTGAGGAACTATACCTGCTTCGGACCTAGCATTTTAATTAGATTAATGAATCCGGGGCTAAGATCCCGATCTCATTTTAAAAATAAGAAAATGCAACAACCATGTTTTGTTCTGCATCACTAACATGATTGATACTTGGTCGATTTTAATGAATAAAATACAAACTTGATCCTTTTCTAATTGAATGCCATTTTTTAAATAATTGTCCATTTTGATTCAATAGGACGCTTAATAAAGACAAATTTAGATTGTCTACCAATGATATCAACAAGAAAACTTGATAGTGCAACCATGTTACTCTTATTGTAATACACCACGGGGCTATTTGGTTCGTTTTCCATAAATTTAAGGGAAAGGAAAGGGGGCAAAATTTGATTTCCATCTGCTTCTATAAATTTTTAAGGAAATGGTCATGGCTTTTCACGTTTGGTTCAAAAGCACAAAACATATAATTCAAAATGATGAGAAGGTTCTTTCTTTGTCTTTTATTTGGTTCGCTGCAGAACACCCACTCAAAAAATGGAAACATACCACTTTATAGAAACCGCGAGAATAAAAAGGAATAAAAATTGAGTGTTTGTCAAATTTCTATGCGTTTCCCGGCCATTATGAGAGGAATTGGATTTCTATAAAAAAAAACTCTTTTCCCACTTTATAGAAACCCTATTCTATAAATGAGAGATGAACCAAACACAATTTTAAGAAAACTCCATAAACCAATTAATTACAAAATTTCCATCATCAGGGGTTTTATAAAATTTTCTATAAAAGTAGTGAACCAAATAGACCCTTAAGACAGAAAGATAGCAAACTCTAATCAGTATTATAACTTATTTTCGCAAATGATTATTCTTCTTCCTAAACATTAATCCAACATATTTCATTGTGTTCTCAAATCTTAAGTATGATCAGATTGAACTTTGATAAGTACTTTAGTTTTGAATTTTGCAAAACCCCTAATCAACCATGAGGTATCACTCCCGTTGTGAATCTTGAGCTGGTCAAGACCACCTAAAAGGTTAAATGCTCCAACAACAACAAGAACATAGGCTAAAAGGTTTCATACTATATGTTACAATTGAAATATATAGTTAATTGATACATTGCACATTCTGCTCTCCTGATAAGCACATCTACGACATTAATTTTTTTCCTTGGCCCATGTCCAAGACACTACCTTTCCCTAGTGGCTCAACATTGTCTACCTATCCCTTTAAAATTGAAAATATTTTGAGAGTTTACCCTTGAAGAGAAAACAGAGACAAGCTCATTTCTGTAAAAGCTTGACGTACACATGCCGATGCACATATACTGTGCATCCTTGCTAGACACTATGAGTAAAGAGTCTAAAGACCTTTTAAAACTTACCAGTTCTGAATTTTGGATTATTTTTACTCAAAGACCTCAAGTAATCTGAAAGATCCATGTATTCTCATGCAATCACTAGCCACACTTGGTTCCAGCCGACCTTGAAGCAAAATTATTGCGGTCCAGGGACATCGCCAGCTAAGTTTAAGACTCACTCAGTTCTACACAAACAAGTTAATGGACAAGGTTCGAGTGATGACTGATTGATAAATCTTTGTCAAGGTAAGAGTATACGAATGGTTATCAACTGTTGCATGAGACTGGAACAGATAAACAAAAGAGACAAGAGCCTGGAAACAAAACGCACCAATACTAATATGCAATGGTAGTACACACTGTTATGATCATAACCTCTACTACATTTTTGAAAGTAAGTAGTATAATCCTACACCATTAGGACTCACCTAAGAATTGAGTTGATGACCTGATTTCATTGAAATGCAAGTACCCATATGCATGCATAGAAAAGTCGAGGAGACATCAAACAAAAGTAAACAAACCTTCCTTGTATATTTCTTGTTTAATCACACAAGCATTTATACGCACTAAAACACTTTCATCCCTTAGTCCAATAATCATTCATTATAATTATTCCTTGTAGCTTGTCATTTTCTTGTTTAGTCACACAAGCATGTATACGCACTAAAATACTTTCATCCCTTAGTCCCATAATCATTCATCACAATTATTCCTTGTAGCATGTCATCTTAATTTTAACATCCATGTACAACATCATGCAAAAGTCTATAACCATCTTCTCTATCACAAAATACTAAAAGAAATCTAACCTCTATTAATGATCACAGATTAATCCAATTCTTAGAAATATGCTAAACTACCATACTATTTCATCACCAAATTATGTACTAAACGCCAATCGACACAAAATACTAGTAGAACAAACAGGAGATTTCAACCACCATCCTAACAAACTTAAGCAATCTAACAGCAAGCCATGTCATAGAACCAACAACATAGAGATTCCTCTTGACTAATTCATGCAACTTCTTCAGCCAAGACTGCATGAACGTACCAATTGACCAAATCAAAGCGCCCCACACTTTGTTTTTCATCATTTAACCCAACCACCAACAAACGAACCAGCTCAAAATAGTCAAGTACATATGAATTTAATAAGGGTTCCTTTATATACCCCCAAATATAGCTTGTTAGCAGAGTTACCACTACTCTGAATATTTGCTAATTTCCCACCACATTCGGCAATGAGAGAAAATACCCCTTTCATTTAACACATTAAATTTCAAACCGAGAAGGGATAAAGTGGAGAGGGGGAAAAAACCCCCCGTCCCCCAAGAAAAAGGTCTTTCCTATATTACCCCCAAATCAATCCTATTTGCCGACTTATAACCAAATATGCATGTTTCTAATTTATCCTTATGAACTTAATTAGAAGTGTTAAAATGGAAGGGGTACTTGGCAAATATGCAGATGTGGGGGTAATATGTAAATAGTACAAATTTGGGGGGGTATACAGGCAAACAACCCGCTTGCTACATATTTTGTTCATCATAATCAATAAGCCCAGCCACCATCAACCGTCAACATGCTCAGATTAGAATAACCAAAGCCCGTGTTATATCAATTTAACCCCCCAAAAAATTGGGCACTGCTCAGTTTCCAAAGATCTCAAAAATAATTAAATTTAACATCCAAGATCACAATTTTGTCATCAAATTCTAACTTCTAAGCAAAATCACCAAAACCCATATCGGTAAATGGGATCAAGAACACGATTCACCAAAGAAAACAGCTCAATACATATCAAATCAATCAGTTGTTAAGATTAACATGGGCAACTCACCTGTTGGAGGATCTGACGGTGGAAGCCACGGAGACCAGTGGAGATCTGGGATCCTTCTTCACGGGATTCGAGAGAAAAGGAGAGAGCTTGGGTTGGAAATTTGTCCTGAGAGCCATTTGTTTTGCCTCTTCCTCTTCTTCCTCGGTTCTCTCGCTGTGCTTGAGGCTGGTATTTAGTTTTACGAGAGAGAAATTTAAGAGGACCTTTATTAGAATGGGATTTTGTCTTTTTTCAGTTTGATTAAGGTGACTAATTCATTAATATAGGCCCCACATGGAAGCGTTAGTTCAAGGCCCAAGCCCATTGCAATAAGTTCTTAGACAGCAATAATTTTGCCCCATGAAGCAAATTGAGAGGACGAAACATGAGCACGTCATCATACCACAGGCCCTTTAAAAAAATTGAGAGTTATGGGAAAACTCTCTACGAGTAATATTATTTTTATTCTTTTTCTATATTACATTCTAATCTTAATTAAACAAAGTTGAATATTATTATACGTCTTGTCAAATTTGTATAACTAAGAGCATCTTATAGAACTATAAGTAATTTATCAGTGGGGGTGAAATTGAATTGGATCCGATCGAATAGTTCGTAGTTTGAATTCGAATTATTCCGTTCTTATTGAAGGATTCGAATTTGAACTCGAATTCGGTTTGAACAAGAAGCAAGATCCGGATTCATTTCGTTAGCTAATGTATATGTTCGATAAAAATTTGAAGGATTCGAATTCGAACTCGAATTCGGTTCGAACAAGAAGCAAGATCCGGATTCATTTCGTTAGCTAATGTATATGTTCGATAAAAATTCGCGAATATTCGCTCATCTACGTGTCATAGCAATGAGAGAGAGAGAGAGAGAGAGAGAGAGAGAGAGAGAGTCGGAGAAAAGATTATCACCGAGAGCATCTGGGACTTGAGAGAGAAAAAGCATCGCGAGAAATTGAGAAGAGCAGTGAGAGTATGGGGCTGGGCCATGCTGCACTCACATGGGAAGGAAGAGATGGAGACCTTCACTTTTTCTCTCTCTGATCTTCTAGTTGGGTAAAGATATGAGACCAGGTCCAAAGTGAAAATGATAAAAGATCAGCTGGGCTCATAAACATTTATATATGGTCCATTTACTTTTTAGATGAGGGAGGGGGTAGCAGCAATTGGCCTTATTACATGGACTTTATTTTCTTATTTATTCGTGTTGGATTGGATTGATTGTAACAAAAGTTTGGGATGTCTAGTATTTGCGCTGAGCTAAATTAATAGAATTTAAATGTAAAATATAAATGAATACTTAATGACCAAACGAAGCAAATATGCGTCTAGCTAAATTCTATTTGTTTATTAATCAAATAATAAAACTTATTTATTTAATGTTAAATGAACCACGGATCGAATATGATTGAATATTCAGACGAACATCTAATGAATTATTTGTTAGTTATTTGGTTCACTTCCGCCACCCCCTATTTATAAGAATAAATATTTCAAGGTTATTTAGATGTTAGTCCATTAATTCTAAATCATTAATAATTCTACATTAGTCACTGAAAATTTTGAAATTGCTCATAATTTTAGGGAGTAATATTGAATTATTAAAGATTTGAGAGACAAATATGTAAAAAGCCATATTTAAAAAAGTGTTAATTTTTGAAAACCCCTCAAATATGGGGTTGGGAGGGAGAAAACATGAGCACACGAACATATCATATCATATCATACTCTCCATAAAAGTGAGAGTTGTGGAAAAATTTTCTATGGATAATATTACTCTTATTCTTATTTTTTTATATTACATTCCAATCATAATTAAACTAAATTAATTATTAATGAATTAATTAATTATAGTATATGTCACTTGTCGAATTTGTATAACTAAAGGCATCTTATAGAACTATAAGTAATTTATAATAATAAATATTAAAATGCTATTTATAAATTAGTCCGTTGATTCTAAATCTTCAACAATTCTGTATTAGTCCTTGAAAATTTTGAAACTGCTCATATTTTTTATGGAGTAACATTTAATTATTAAAGATTTGAGAGATAAATACATAAAAAACCATATTTAAAAGAAGTGTTAAATTTTGAAAACCCCTTAAATAGGCGGGTTGTCTTAGAAAATGCACTCAACTAATTTAGTTTGAGAAAACCCCCTAATATTGGGTGTTGTAGATAATCACTTTCAACTTTGGTATGACAACAACTTTAAAAAATCCCCCTCAACTTTTAGTGTGTCCCATAAAAATCCCATGACCTTTTACATTTCTCTTAACAAACTTTCTTTACATTTCTCTTAACAAACTTCCTTAACGTCGTCACTTCAATATAATATTCAAACGAAATACTCACTTGAACAAAAATCTATTTTAGTTAAAAAGAAACCCTTAATAGATAATAAAAGCACCATAACCAATTTATGATGATTTTTTGATCTATATCTCTTCTTATTCTTTCATCTAGCAAAAACTAAGGTAATTCTTTTATAGTTGAAGATACTTGTCATCATAATAGATATAGACTGCAACGATGTGTAGTTTGTTGGAGGGGTTAGAAGTGAGAAAAGTTTCTAGGGGTGGGGGGGTGGGGCGTGGCGTGGGGGGGGGTGATTTGGGGGGGGATAAATCAAAGTTTTAATTTGAAGACATGATTATTTTTAACATCAAATCTAGGGAGATTTCCTCAAATAAAAAAAGGTGTGTGTGTGTGTGGGGCCCGCGTTGGGAGCCCGGGGGAGGCGGGGGTAGTGTTCTGGCACTCCTTATTTATCATTATATGTCAACTTGCTAAATTTGTTTAACTAAGGATATCTTATAGAACTATAAGTAATCTATAAGAACAAATATTTAAAAGTTATTTAGATATTAGTCTCTTGATTTTAAATCTTCAATAATTCTATACTAATCCCAAAAAAATTTGAAATTGCTTATATTTTCAGGAAGTAATATTGAATTATTAACTATTTGAGAGGCAAATATATAATAAGAGATAGTTAAAAGAACAGTTAATTTTTGAAATCCCCTAAAATATAAGGCTTGTCTCAGAAAGTGCACTCAACACATTTAATTTGAGAAAGCCCTCCTAACTATGGGGGTGTTGTAGATAATCTTTCTCAATTTTGGTACGACAACAATTTTAGAAAACCCCCCTCAACATTTGGTGAGTCCCATAAAAACTCATGTGACCTTTTACACTTCTCTCAACAAACTCCCTTAACATCGTTACTCTAGTATAAGATTCAAACGATATATCCTCTTGACAAAAACGCATTTTCATTAAAAAGAAACCCTTAACCGCGGCCCACATTGCTTTTTCCCTCTATATCTCTTCTTTTTCTGTCATCTGCCAAAAACCAAGGTAATTCTTTTATATTTGAGGGATGCTTATCACATAATAGATAAGATTCAATAGTGTTAGTTTTGAGGGGTTAAATGAGAAAAGTTTAGGAGGGATAAATCAAAGTTTCAAAGTTGAGATGGATTATCTGTACCTGAATTTTGGGGTAGATTTCCCAAATTAAAATAGTTGAAAGAGGTTTTTTGACCCTACCCCCTCCAAATTAGGGGGAGTTTTATACCTTAAACAAAGCACGACTGAAGGCACATATGTTAAGATTGGATTTTATACCAAGTCTTCAATGGACTGATTTGGATTATTTGCCCTTAGATTTATACTTTACATCAACTTTAAAAAATCTATTTCTAAATATTTTCTAGGACAAATTTACTTTTTATTTGGGATGGTATGAGATTCTTCTGATTCTCCAAGCCTTTCACAATTTGGAGCTAATTGTTTGACTAAATAAATTATGTTGTTCAATGTATATTACTCACCTGCTTATAAGTTTATAAGCCACATAGATTGGATATGGGTAGTGTTGTGAATATTGGACTCTTCTGACTCATTAATTTAAAATTTTGGATTTGTTTAACATTGAATTGATCTAAACTATTTTGTTAAAATATAATCAATATGAGTGCATAATATGCATAAATCATTCTCGAATTATATTTTATAATTTTTTGACAACAAAGAATAAAATAGCACTATTATTTATGTAGCGAAGTTAGATTAAGCTAAGTTTTGAGGACTCTTGAGATGAGGAATGAATTTGTTATGGAGGGCTTGTCTCGTTGAACAAGTAGGAAGAGTGCCAACAATGACCAAAAATCGATTGTGATGTGGCTTTGCCGACACAAGATCAAAGATCAAGTGTTATGGGCTAAAGATAAACAAAGTTTGCAAAGCAAACTTCTTCCCGCAAGGCTAGGACCTAGGGCAAATGAAGAGTAGGGGCTAGATATCATTCATAGGCGTACTGATGAGCTTGACAATATCACTGAAGTAGTATCATTCAGAGGTGTACTGATGAGCTTGATGGGCACTTGTATTGGTAGAGGTGTAATGTTGAACATTTGGAGACTTAACTATATTTGGCGTGATTTTCTATAGAATCGACTGTTGGCCTTCTTGTTTTGATGATGATTTACAAACAATTTACTACTAATGTTGTTTGTCTAGTGTTTGTGCATTCCTATGTAATGTAGACAAACAACGTAGTTGGAGGATGGATGGAATAGAGCTTCAACGATCATATCCAAAGGAGGTTGGCGGAATGTCGGTGAAGCTTATGCAATTCAAGTTAAAGATCGAGTTCAAGCTTCATCCGCAAATATATCAAGTTAAGCCTATTGAAGATCAAGATCAAGCTTTAGTATATTTAGTTTAGGTTTTATATTATGTATGTTAGATACTCTAAGCTCAATATCATATACACACACGTATTTGGTTTCTAAGCTCAAATATTGTATTCTCAGTTTATAGACTTAACAATCATCATATACATATTTTATCAAGTCTATATAATCATTGTGCAAAGTTTTAAAATATTGTTTATGTCAAAACATCAAACTTCATGTATATCACTTTTTTCATGTTTTGAACACTTTTGCAAAATAATGAGATTTCACAATTGGGAAATGCAAATTGGAAAATTCTTTTTGTAACATGTTCAAAATATCATTTGCAAACATTTCTCAAAGTTTCATTAAGTTTGGAATTGATTTGTTATGTTTAAAGGAATTTACAAATTCACGTTTTTGTTCGTGCACATGTTCGTGCATGTTTTACAAAACTAATGAGTTTTCGCAAATGGGAAGCGATATTTGAAAATTTCTTTCTCTGGCATGTTTATCTACAT